GGCTTCCAATGACTTTAATACATTCTTTATTTGCTCAATTCTGTAATATAAGAAATACTTTCAGAATTGCTTTGTCTATATCACTTTAATAAGCAAACCTAAAAAGATTTCAAAGTTTGACTCCTCCACCTTACTCTGCTCAGGCTTGAGGATATATAGTCAGATACTGCGTTAAGAAGTTATTTGGAATGGTCCCTCTTCTTTTTTCTTTCTTCCCTTCCTCCCTTCCTTCCTTTTCTGTTCCTCCTCACCTCTCCCCTCCTACTCCCCTCCCTCCCTTCCTTCTTTTCCCTTCAGGATGGCTAAATAGTATTCATTTGAAATTCATTAGATTCATTTCTTTTAGTTTTTGTTTTAAGGTTTTTTTTCCCTCTTTCTCATTCTTATTGGTTTAATATGTATATATTTTGGAATATGTTGAACATTGACATTCTTTCAAAAGACAAAAGTACTTAAAAATATACTCAGAGAGATTAGTTCCCATCTCCTCCTTTCTCCTCCAGTAGGTAACTGACTTCATTGTTTTCTTGTTTATCCTTCCTGTGATTCATATCTCTATATATCTATATATATGTTTTATATACATGCATATGTTTCTTACATATATATATACATATATATATACACACACATATACACATACATTCACTCTTTTCCTTCTTACACAAAAGGTAACATATCAGAGATATGTATCTATATTAAGTCATAAAGATCTTCATTATCTTTTTTGTTTGGTTTTATTTACAGATGTATGATATGCCATTGTGTTTATGTACTGTAGTTTATTTAACAAATCTTGTGTGCATGGACATTTAGATAGTTTACAATATTTTGTAATTATAAATGATGCTGCAGTAAATAAACTTGTGCTCATATATTTTCATATTGCTGGTGGTTTACTTCCAAGTTCCTATAAGTGGGATTGTTGGGTTGAAGAATAAATGCTCACGTAGATTTGTTAGATACTGCTAAATTTTCCTCCATAGGGATTTTCTCATTTTGTATTCCCACCAGCTCATAATTGTATAGGAGCACTGTTTGCCCAGTCTCATAAGCAGAGCATATTGCAATAATTTTGAAATTTTGACAATCTGATGAGGGAGAAGTGGCATCTTAGTATAGATTTAGCTCATATTTCCCTGTTTAAAAGTGAAGTTGAACATCTTTTCATATATTTAAGACCACTGTTATATAATTTTTTGTGAATTGTCTATGGCTTTTGCCAGTTTTTCTATGGAATTGTCCTTCCCTTATTATTAAAGAGTTCTTTATAAATTAAGGATTTTAGCCCTTTTAGCTCACATATTTTGTCAGTGTTCTCACAACTTGTCCTATCTTTTGATTTTACTAATGGCATTTCTTTTTACCATGCCTTTCAATATACCCATGTTATCATGCAATTTTTTCTTCTAATTGTTTAAAATTCTATTTTGTATGCTAGGATGTCTGATTCATTTAGAGTTTTTTGTATGTGTATGGTGTGAGGACTGGATCTGATTTTATATTTTTCCAAATGGCTATCCAGTTGTCTGAATACCATTTGTGAAAAAGACTTTACCTTGATCATTTAAAATACCACTTTTATCATATGATATGCTAGATTTTTAGTATATCATAGTTGAGCCTGTTTCTTGAATTGCTCTTCTGTACCTTTGGTCTTTCTATCAAAGCACTGATACTACACTATTTTAATTGTATAGACCTTGAAGATATTTTAATATCTTTTAAGTCTAGTTCCCCTCAAAGCTCTTCCTTTTCATTGTTTTTTTTTTAAATTAAATTTTTAATTTTAATTTCAGTATAGTTAACATACATTGTTATATTAGTTGCAGGTATACAATATAGTGATTCAACAATTCTGTACATTACTTAAGTGCTCATCATGATAAGTGCACTCTTTAATCACCATCACCTATTTCAGCCATCCCCCTACATTCCTCCCCTCTGGTAACCTTCAGTTTGTTCTCTGTAGTTAAAAGAGTTTATTTCTTGGTTTTTCTTTTTCCTTTGCTTGTTTGTTTTGTTTCTTAAATTCCACATCATATGATATTTTTTTTTCTGAGTTATTTCACTTAGCATTATACTTTATAGGTCTATACATGTTGTTGAAAATGGTAAGATATCATTCTTTATGACTGAATAATATTCCATTGTGTATACATACCATATCTTCCTTATACATTCATATATCAATGACTGCTTGGGCTATTATATGTTTACTTCTGCATGTGAACATTAAGATCAACTTTTCTAACTCCTTTAAAGCTTATTGGAATTTTTATTTGGTAAAATTGAAAATTACCTTTCAAATTAACTGCCGTCCTGATGATGTTGAGATGTCCCAATGAAAAATAAGGAATGTATTTGCATATATTTATGCCTACTTTTGTGTTTTGCAGGCTGAGTTTTATGCCTAACGTTTCATTATATTTCCTTTGGAACTATTTATTTCCTTAGTTATTTGCAGGCACTAATGATTTTTTAGATGATAGCTGAAATTAAATTACTAAAAATTGATGTTTAAACTCTGCTCATAACTATACATTTTGAAAATACTTTTAATACATTCAAAATTGTCTCAATACTTATTAATATAAAGATCTTTAGACAACATATTCTAATTTGCTTTTTTGAGTTTGAAAATTTAAAAGAGAATATAATTTTATATTGGACACCTTCAAGAACTCTATAAAGCCTCTCAGCTTAATTCTTTTTTTTTTTTAAGTAAGGTTTTATTTATTTATTTATTTTAGAGAGAGTGAGAGAGTGTGTGCAAGCACTTGAGCACATGAGCAAGGGGAGGTGTGGGGGGGAGGGAGAATCTGAAGCAGACTCCGAGCTGAGCACAGAGCCCGTCATGGGGCTCCATCTCACTACCCCAAGATTATGACCTGAGCTGAAACCAAGAGTCAGCCACTTAACCGCCCAGGTGCCCCTCAGCTTAGTTCTTAACAAGGTGGTATTAATTCCTTATTTCCATTAAATTTCTGGGCTTGAGTAATGAAACGTAGCAAAAATTACTTCCTAAACAAAAGCATATAATTTCATCCTCCTGAGATAATTTGTAGCTTGGAGAAAATAAAATTTTAACCATGGCCTCTTAAAAATTATATTTTGTTGAAGGTAGCATATTACAATAACTTCTATTCCAATATGATATTAAATAATTTGAATAAGCATAATATTATCAACCAGAATAAATACTGTATAACTTCCATATGGGGATATAGGTTTGTATCCAGAGCTCTTAAAGTCAACATATAGATTAATCAAAAAGTACTTGAAATCCTTAACATTTGTCAAAGTCACTTTAGATGGCTATGGTACTTTGAAAGCCATTTATTTAGACAAATATGATATGCAGGGAATATCATGCATAACAAGGTAGGCACTATTATTTTGAATATTTTCCTATTCTAAAAGTAGTACTGAGGGGCACCTGCATGGCTCAATCAGTTAAATATCTGCCTTTAACTCAGGTCATGATCCCAGGGTCCTGAGATTGAGCCCCAGTTTGGACTCCCTGCTTGTGCTCTCTCTCAAATAAATAAATAAACTCTTTAAAAAAAAAAATAAAAGTAGTATTGAGATATCCATTTGGCACAAGTCATATTTTTTGTGACAGAAAAAGGAATTATAATAGTATTGTGAATCAGTCCTTCAGTATATGTATATATTTGGTACAAAGTGATGGGATTTATGGAGGTGAGCTTAAATGAAGGAACAAAATATAGAAATAGTAGAGAACCTGAAGTGCTTAACCTAGCAATAATGAGTATGATCATTTTCTACAGCTAGAAAACTATATATCACACATTTTGAAAGTCCATTTGGGGAAGTTATAGGAAACTAACCCCCAAAGTTTCATTGTTTCACAGAGAATAAAGTTAGTGGTATAATTGAATATTATATTTCAACTTTAATTTTGCAGTTAGTGTGGAAAAAGATTTACTCTTCAACTCATGAATAAAAACACTAGCAATACATGGCTCAAAAATGCATTCAGAATGTAACCTGATTATAGCTTATTATTTTCAACTGTCTGGCCTTTTATTAATTAAAATATATATATATAAATTATTCCTCTGTTCTGATTAATGCTATTAAAACTAAAGACATTTTGGAAGGTCTTTCTCATCTTTTAAACTTTTACATATACTTTAAATATTAAGTCACTTTATGCAGTTAGCCTTGTGTATATCATTTTATAATAATTTATTTTGGAGGGTGTTCCAGTGAAAAAGCATTATGCGAAATCAAGCTGTATCTCTCTTAGGCACTAATTCTCATTTTAATTGAATTCTGGAGACAGATATAAAAATGTGAACTTCAGAAATTTTGAGAACATTTATGATCTTCTCCCAGTGCTATAATTAACCATAATTTTGAAGAATTTAATTTAACTTAGAATTCATGATTTGGAATGCTCTTATGTTCTTCCATTTTTTATAATCTGCTTACATAAATTCAGAGTTTGAGCTACTGAATTTAGAGCTGGACCATTCAGAAAAAACTTTTCTTTATTACACAATTGGGGAGATCTTTTTTAAAATATAAAATCATTGTGTAGAAACTGGGGAAAAATATATTTCAAAGAATACCAGAAGTAAGAAAATGATGTAGATTTATAAATTCCCCAACTTTTCTTCCTTCACCTAGAAGTATCTCTATATCTTTATCAAGACTTTCAATTTCTTTTCATAATATTAAGGAAGAATATATATGACCAAATTCCTAGTCTTACCCCATCTGCCTTGTGACATTCCCCTTTATCATCTTGTGTGTGTGACTGTTTGTCTTCACTGTTTCTTCTCTCTACTCATGCTCAAATATTGGCTTTCTACATTAATTATTTTGAAGATTTGTTTTTAAAAATTTGATTAATGATATAGTTTTTAAGATGTTTTAATGTAGACTTTAATTATTGTTTTGCTTGAAGAAAAAATATGAAGGTTTTGAATTTTGTTGCTCAGTAGTAAATGAGTTTTTTATTTCTACAGATGCGACTCTGAAAATCGCTATGTTGGTAATCCACTTAGAGGAACATGTTATTGTAAGTACTTTTGCTTTTTCATTTTAAATAGTTTATATTTTTAGTCTTAGGTGATTTTGCAGATAATAAAATTCATCTTGCATGCTGATGTTGTCATTCATATGTTACCATTTCTATTTCTTAAATCTTATAATACAATTCCATATATGTTGCTAAGAAAGGCAGTCTTTTGTTGTATTTTAAAAATTATATTTGGTGCATTTTTTTCTACTCTTGAAGAGTGACATAGAAATAGATCTTATTCTGGACATGGAAACAAAAATAGGACTTGAATAATCTCAGCTGGATTTAATATGATCTTTTCATTTTGATTAAATTTTGAATGAATAGAATTTTGTGATAGATTTTTGCAGGGGGCAATTTTGGTCATCACTAAAAAGCTGTGTTGATTTTTTACTGAAAGATACTTTCACTGGGTAGTGATCATACACTAGATGTATGTTTAACCTTTTAAGAGACAATTTTCAAATGGTTATATCATTTTACATTCCCACCAGGAGTGTATGAGTTTCAGTTCTTCAAATCTCTCAGTATTTCATATGGTTAGTCTTTTTAATTTTAGCTGTCCTAATAGGTGTGTAATGGTATCTAATGTTTTTATTTACATTTCTCTAATGAGAAATGATGTTAAATATTTGTTCACATGATTATTTGCTCTCTATTTTTTTTTATTTGATGAAGTGTGTTTAAATCTGTTGTCCACTTTTAAAAATTGGATTGTTTTCATTATTGAGTTTTCAGAGTACTTTATGTATTACAGATACAAATATTTTAGGTGACATATGATTTGTAAATATTTTTTTTTTTAGTTTGTGACTTACCTTTTCACTCTATTAGGAGTATTTTTTTTTGAAGAGGAGTTTTTAATTAAGATGAAGTGCAATTTATCAATCTGTTCTTTTGAGAAATCTTAGCCTAACCTAAGATCACAAAGATTTTCCCATTTTTTTAGAAGTTTTCTATTTTTATGTTTTCTATTTAAGAATGAAGTTGATTTTGAGTTAATATTTGTATATATTTCAAGAGATGGATCAATTTTTTTCTCCATATGGGTATCCAAATGTTCTAGCACAGTTTGTTTAAAGATTTTCTTTTAACCAATGAATTGCTTTTACACCTTTGTTGAAAATCAGTTGCCCATTTATAAGAGTGTAAAGGCTGGGACATCTGGGTGGCTCAGTTGGTTAAGTGCCTGACTCTTGGTTTAGGCTCAGGTCATGATCTCATGGTCGTGAGATTGAGCCCTATATCAGGCTCTGCGCTCAGCGTGGAGTCTGCTTGTCCCTCCCCCACCACCCTCCACTTGTTCTCTCTTTCTCAAATAAATAAAATCTTAAAAAAAAAAAAAGACTGTAAAGGCTATTTCTGGAATCTCTATTATGTTCTGTTAATTAATTTGCCTACTTTTATACCAAAATAGCACTGTTACAACCACTGTAGTTTCATAATAAGTCTTGGAATTATGTAGCATTTATTCTCCAATTTCATTCTTTTACAAACTTGTTTTGGCTTTGGGTTCCATTTCTTTTGTGTTTACATATGAATTTTAGAACCAGCTTGTCAGTTTTTACCAAAACACATTCTCGGATTTGGATTGAGATTGTGTTTAATTTATAGAACAATTTGGGGGGAATTGATATCTTAACCATAGTGAGTCTTCTGACCCATGAATATATATCTCTTTTTTAACTTAATTATTTTAAAATTTATTCTCAACAATATTTGGTATTTTTCACTATGTAGGTCTTTCACAGTTTTTGTCAGATTTATTCCTACATATTTTATATTTTTGTTGCTGGTGTAAATAGTATCTTTTATTATTTAATTTTTAATTGTGTCTGTATAATTTAATTATACATATATATAAATATAATTTAATTGTGTCTGTATAGTAAAACTACAGTTGATTTTTATGTTGATTTTCTATCCTTCAGCTTCATTAAATTTAGTTATTAGTTGCAGTACCTTTTTTTTTTGTAGATTCCATTATATTTTTAATGCAGACAATAATGTGTTTTGCAATTATGGAATTTGATTTTTTTTCTTTCTTCTAATGATGCCTTTTATTTCTTTTTCTTGTCTAATTGCATTGGCTACTACCTCTGGTACCATGTGAAAAGATGTGATAAGCATGGAAATGTTCTACTGTTGTTGTTGATTTTAGAGGGAAAACATTCAGTCTTTCACTATTAAGTATGATGTAGGTTTTTCCTAGATGCCTTTATCAAGTTGAAGAAATTCTCTTCTAGTCCTATTAGAATGGGTGTTTGTGTATGTCATATAGTTTTTCTGTATCAATTAAGATGATCACAAGGTGTTTCTATTTTACTTTTTTAGTATAGCAATTTTAGTTTTTAAATGTAATGAATGCTACAACATGTGGATATACCACTTTTTTTGTTGTTCATCAGTAGATGAACATTTGGATTCTTTCTAGCCTTTGGCTGTTATGAAAAATGCTGATGTGAACATTTGTATGGTCTTTGTATAGACATATGATTCCATTTCCTTTGGGTAGATTCCTAGAAGTAGAATTGCTGGGTCGTATGATAAATGTATGTTGAACTTTTTAAGTAACTGCCAAATGATTTTACAATATGGCTGTGCCATTTTACATTCCTACTAGAAATTTATAGATTTCAATAATTCTACATCCTCACCAACACTTAATATTGTCTGTCTTTTTGATTGTAGCTATTCTAGAGTATGTGTAGTAGTAGCTTGTGGTCTTAATTTGTATTTTTCTTATGAATGATAATGTTGAGCTCAATTTCATGTCCTGCACATGTTTTGTTAGTTATGTAAAATACTAAATTTCCTGATACTTTTGTTGCTATTTAAATAGTATCTTTTTAAATTACATTTTCTACTTATGTTTGATATATAAAAATTAAATTCATTTAAGTACATTAATCTGATATTCATAAACCTTAATGAACTCTCTTATTAGGTCTAATTATTTATAGATATGTTTGGTTTTTAAATACAATTAATTTATATTACATACAAATAAAAACGGTTTTATTCCCTTCTATCCAGTTTTTTTGTTGGGAGTTTTTTGATTACAGATTCAGTTTTTTGCATAATCACTCTGCTCAGATTTTCTATTTCTCCTTGATTCCATTTTGGAAGGTTATGTGTTTCTGGGAATTGATGTCTTCTAGGTTGTCCAATTTGTTTGTATATAATTTTTCTTAATATTCATAATCCTTTGTATTTCTGTGGTATTGATTATTTCTCCTCTTTAATTTCTTTTTTTATTTATGAACCCTCTCTTTTTCTTGATGAGTCTTGCTAAAGGTTTATCAATTTTGTTTATCTTTTCAAAGAACCAGCTCCTAATTTCATTCTTTCCTGTTGTTCTTTTAGTCTTTATTTCATTTGTTTCTGCTCTAATCTTTTTATTTCCTTCCTTCTACTGGCTTTAGCTTTGTTTGTTCTTTTTCTAGCTCCTTTGGTATAAGGTTAGGTCACTTATCTGAGATTTTTCTTGCTTCTTGAGGTAGGCTTGTATTGCTATAAACTTCCCTCTTAGAACAGCTTTTGTTACATCCCAAGGTTTTGGATTATTGTGTTTTTCTTTTCATTTGTCTTCATGTATTTTTTAATTTCCTCTTTGATTTCTTGGTTGACCCACTCATTGTTTAGTAGCATTATTTGGTCTCCATGTATTTCTGTTCTTTCCAGATTTTATCTTGTGATTAATTTCTAGTTTCATACTCTTGTGTTTGGAAAGATGCATGATATGATTTCAATCTTTTTGAGTTTATTGAGACTTGTTTTGTGGTCTAACACGATCTATTCTGGATAATATTCCATGTACATTTGAAAAGAATGTGTATTCTACTGTTGTTGGATGGAATGTTCTGAATATATCTGTTAGGTTGATCTGATCTAATGAATCATTCAAAGCCACTGTTTCCTTACTGATTTTTTGTCTGGATGATCTATCCATTGATGTAAGTTGGGTGTTACAGTCCTCTACTATTATTGTATTATTGTTAATTTCTTCCTTTATATCTGTTAATAGTTGCTTTATATATTTAAATCCTCCCATGTTGGGTACATAGATATTTACAATTGGTATATACTCTTTTTGGATTGTTCTATGATTGTGTAGTGTCCTTCTTTGTCTCTTGTTACAGTCTTTGTTTTAAAGTCTATTTTGTTCAATATAGGTCTGTTCTGTTCAATATAAGTATTGTTACCTCCCCACCACCAAAATTAACCCAAGGAGGTCCACAACAAGATACATAAAATGACAAAAAGATTTAAAAGCAACAGAGAAAAACAGCTACATACAAGGAAGAACCCATAAGGCTATTAGCTGATTTTTCAGCAGTGACTTTAAAGGCCAGAAGGGAGTAGTGTGATATATTCTAAATATTGAAAGGGAAAAAAGCTGCAAACAAGAATGCTTTACCTATCAGGGCTATCATTCAGAATTGAAGGAGAGATAAAGAGTTACCCAAACAAAACACAAAAACAAAAAACCAAAAAAGAGTTTCTCAAAGAAAAGCTAAAGGAGTTCATCACCAGTAAACTAGCCTTACAAAAAAGATTAAAGGAAATTTTTTGAGTGTAAAGAAAAGGCCATAATTTGGAGTAAGAAAATTATGAAAGAAAAAATTTCACAGGTAAATACAAACATATAATAAAAGTAGTAGATCAATAACTTACAATACCAGTATGAATGTTAAAGCACAGAAGCTGAAAAATCAATTATGTTCACAAAAATCAGCCAAGGAATTCATAAAATTAAAAAAAAATGTGAAGTATGACACCATATACATAAAACATGGGGAGGGGAGTAAAAATGTAGCATTTTTAGAATGGGTTCAAACTAAAGTGACCATCAATTTACTATAGACTGCTATATGCACAAGATGTTATATATGAACTTAATGATAACCACAAATCAAAAACCTATAACAGATACACAGGAAATAAAGAGAAAGGAATCCAAGTGTAACACTAAATACACTATCAAATCACAAGGG